AAAAAAAAAAAAAAAAAAAAAAAACTTGTTTGGTAAGTTGATAAAGGAAACAGCTTCAATTAAAAATATGAAAAAAATTTAATTATGTAAATTTATACACTTATATTTATATATATATTGATAATTTTTAGATTTTCACCAATACATTATTATTATTTATTTATTTTTAATACATTACCAATAAACAGTTTAAAAAATTATGTTACCAAACACTATTTTCATATTTTGACATTAATTTATTTATTATTTATAACTAGATTTAAAAGTTTGTTAAAATCTCACCAAGAGTAAAAACCTTTATAAATAGTCCATATTATAAGGACTATTTAGCAAAATTTTGTCGAACTAAAGAATTTCGACAACCGAACTATTATCACCGTTCAAGTATAGACTTTTTTTCAGAGTCATATGGTAGCACAACTCACACACAAACACCACCCGACAAAGGACGAATGAATGCGAGAAGCTCAAAACTTCAAACTTTCTTCATAAATGGGGATGCCCAGTATCACAATCGCACTTTTTTTGACAATAGACTTTTGCGATTGTGTGGTATTCACTCCCAACATCGAGCAAGTTAAGTCAATTTGGATTCGCGTCGCCTGCAACCGAGCAACATATGCTTAAGCCTCTAGCCTATTTTAAGAAGAAGGTTTTAGAAAACGATAGAAGAGATTTTTGAAAAAGAGTTTAAAAGTAAGGTTGAAAGAAGGTTTGAAATTTGTTATATGCCTTAAGTATATAAAGAAATACCACAACTTAAATATTATATAACTCGAATATGAAAATTTGATAACTAGTTGCATCTCCTTATAGTACAGACATGATTTCGCTAAACGGCCATACAAATCTAGGCAGAAGGAGTTGACGACTGATATCATCCTCTATAGTACATTTTGAGACGATTTAAGTCTGACAGACCTAGACATGATTTTGCCGAATAGTCATACAAATAGAAAATACAACAGTAAAGCAATACAACATGGAATCAAATAAATGGTTTGGCGTGGCATAGACATGTGGCCACGGGCAACACGCCCTAAACAAGCATAACTGTGACACTCAGAGCAAAGGAGACGATCCTTTACAGAGACCAATTATAACAGTCACTTTCAGTATTATAGACTAAGTTTGTAGTTTAATGTTTTTTTTTTTTTTCAGCTCAAACAGTAACATACCTTTAGAAAGTCACAAGGAATAAATTGCAGCACAACATATTATACTTCTTTTACTTTCTTTGAGCAATACTGAAATGCAGTACAACAAAAAATCATCATAAAAAAAAGTCCATTTTAGGACAAACAACCTACGACAGAAGAACACGACCATCTAACTCCTAACTGACTTTCCTTTGTTTTTTTTTAAGGAAAAAAATGGATCACAGACCAAAGAATTGTCACAAAAACCCAGATCCTAGAATTCTAGGAAGCTTTTGAAGTTCATGAGGCCCCCAGTTCAACACTTATAAACAAGGTGCATCATTGATCATAATGGGTAAAGACAAGAAGGCTTTAACATGAATGGGAATGAATAGAAGAAAAGAAAAAGATTACCTTGTCAGCTATGTGTAAATGATGACAACTTTGTCATCTGGAGTTTTTTGTAATGCTACAACTGTTGAAAATGCTTAAAATCGCGACAATCAGCTCCGACTTCGTTCAACGACGAGAAGAGCTTCGGAACAATCTTAGCGAGCATAAGCTTAAACCCGACTGACGTGGAGTTGGGATCGCTTTCTTCTCTTATAGAGGCATCTTCTGTGAGAGAGCCAATTAAGTGACCTTTCATGTATGCATCACAGGCCTTCAGGATGTAATATCCACGCCTCCTGAAATGTTCTTTAACCAGTTCTTCAAAGTCCTATTCATGAACAAAATCAATTGGTCAAACATAATATTTATAGCTAATATATCACTAGCAGTCATTGCATCGTGAACTTTCTGAGTACAGCATACATAAATTCGCTCAAGTTACTAAATCCACCGACCAATCACAAGTTCTTCAAACCCTTAAAGAGGAAAAAGAAAAAAGAAGCACGGTAACAGCCCAAGCCTACTGCTAATAGATATTGTCATCTTTGGGCTTTTCCTTTCGGGCTTTCTTTTAAAGTTTTTAAAATACGTCTATTAGGGAAAAGTTTTCACACCCTTATAAAGAATACTTCGTTCTTCTCCCCAACCAACGTGGGATCTCACAATCCACCCACCTTTAGGACCCAGCGTCTTCGCTGGCACTCATTCCTCTCTCCAATCGATGTGGGATCTCACAATCCACCCCCTTTCAGGACTCAGCGTCCTCATTGGCACACCGCCTAGTATCTGGCTTTGATACCAATTGTAACAACTAAAGCTCACAGCTAGCAGATATTGTCCTCTTTGGGCTTTCCCACTCAGGCTTCCCCTCAAGGTTTTTAAAACGTGTCAGCTAGAGGAAGGTTTCAACACCCTTATAAAGAATGTTTCATTCTCCTCTCCAACCGATGTGAGATCTCACAATCCACCCACCTTTAGGGCCCATCGTCCTTGCTGGCACTTGTCCCTCTCTCCAATCGATGTGAGATCTCACAAGCACGATGCTTTTTGGTCTATTTAGCAAATGACATTTGAAGATTGTGTGGTGCAGAAAAAGTTGTCAACAAAGATATTCAAATGAAAATGAAAATAAACAGTCATACCCACCTTCGGAGGCTTCCTCATAAGATACATTATTGTCTTGCAGTTCAACAAGAAAGTGTTTTCATTGTACGACAAGGAATTCTTCTCTCCTTCTGCTGTCCCAATTTGTTTGTCATATCCAGCTTCATTAAAATATGGTTTAGAATTCAACACTAACCCCTGGAGCGATACCAACACTTGAAGGATGCTAGAGGACTTTGGATCCCACACTTCATTTCCTCTGCCAGTCCAAGTGTTTAAAAGGCTAAGGCACACTTTGCCTTCCTCATAAAGATTGGGATTTATCCGCCACCCACCTGAATGATAATATGCTGACTGCATCATAACAAATCCCATCAGTAAGTTACCGTATAAGACAACCCAGATTATAGAAGTGACTTAATGCTATGACTCACTGGTGGAACGTCGGGATACTCTGGTGGGAGGTGAAAATCGAAGAAGAAAAGGCCATCTTGGTAAGGGGTCCCATAGGCCCCAACAATGACGGTTCTTAAAAGGTCCATTCTATCCTCGTAGACTCGAACGTATATCCCATCTGTTACAGAATTCATTCATGGCTCAGCTAACAGATACATGAATGTCAATCTCACGAGACGCGACACAATGAAGCAAAAAGCATTGTTTACCTGGAAGATTATTCTGGAGGATAGTCCAATCTTGCTGGATTTTCTTAAGCCATTTCCTTCCGTTAATAGTCTGCATTCAACAAAGTTCAACCATTCAGACTTGTGAGAGAATCTTTCAAGTAAGAACGTGTAAACCAATCTGGACAACTCGAAACCCAAAAGTATTGATGAACATGAAGAACAAGACCCTAAAACAAGAACCGTGCAACCCTAAAACAAGAACTGTGCACAGAAGTATTCTTAGAGCATCAAAGTGGTATCGAAACTTCACAAATATATCAAGGTTTGGAGAATTTTGTAAATTACTTACTTGTCCATTTGTACCAAGAAAATAATGGTCCAAAGGATCTTTAGCGATATCAAAGCCCTTGAAGCTGCAGGTGCCATCCTCATGGCATGCTGACCCATCTGATTGAGCAGTCCTCAGGTTGCTTGAAGCTTCTGCTGATACTAACATTTTTGATGGCTCTGAGGCATCATCGTCCTCTCCTCTTCCACAGTCAGAGTTCATATCAGAAGTAGTAAAAGAATTGGATTTAAGAGAGCTAGACTGAAGCCCAGAATCTATTTCCTCCAAAGATTGAATTTCCAAGGATTGAGTGTCACTTTCACTGTGGGAATCCAAATCCATTGATTCTCGATTTCTTGGTCCTCGTGAGAATATTCCAGTAGCCAATCTAGTAACAAATCGAAATGCAGCAAGTGGAACAGAAAGAGCTAGACTTCTTCCTGAATTATGCTGTTCACTCTCTTCCTCTTCAGAATCCACACCAGTATCTTGCAGCTCAATATCCTAGAGACATTGACGTGGGTCATTATTCGCGATGCCTTAATACATATCAGGTGTAATTATTCTTAAAACTGTAGATAACAACGTTACAAGCAAAGGCAAACAAAATAAATTTTGAAAAAGAAACCGAAAAAGAAATGATATTATTGAGAGTGAGTGAAAGACTGAGAGTCTATCAAAATAATTTTGAATCCCATTATTTAAAGAAGATTACAAGTAAAGAGACAGGAATTCAGACTGACCTTTTGCATCTAATATGCATGATTAAAACAAAAGTCCATACCGGCCCTCATAATTACATGTTACTTCTAGTTTTATTCTTTAGAAAATCTAGAGATTATTATCAGATGAT